GGACTCAAAACCTGGAAGCAAGACTTCCTTTAAGACTTTAGACTGAGAGGCATTCCAGCCTCTCCTCTTGTATACTTATGGTAATCCTTGGTCTCTGCAGTTGTGTGTCTGTAGGCTTAGTCAGTTTAGACAGAAACCAGACGCCAACAAGTACCAACACTCAGCAAAGAAGAACAGAACCAAGACCTGCACTGTATCACACAGCTTAAAGTGCGACTCACGCAGTTGACAATTCCTCTAAATCAAAAGGACTTCAACAAAAAATTATACAGCTTACGTAGAAGGAGCCACTTGCTTGTCCACAATGGACTCAACAAACGGCTTCATGCAACATGACTGCTATTTTGAGTCAGTCTAATAACAGATACTATTTGGCTTGGCCAAAAGACTAGTAATAATAAATATGTAAATACAAATATAGCAAATGTGCAACTCTTATCTGACACAACACTAGCTAAACAGCCTTTGACTCCTGTTATCAGTGGCACTTGTCACCTCCTCTAAGAAGTCATCATTTCATTACATAAACAGCAATAACATTGCTGCATAGCTGTGTTGAGTCAGAAAGTAAAGTACCAGGCTCCTGGAATGGGCTCACACACTGGGATCACATACGCCGCCAGTGACCTTGGCCTGCAGAGTGGTATGTTCTTTAGAATTGTCACACGTTTCTCGCTCTCAGACTGCCAAATCAAAAAGTTTCAGACAGGAGGTTCAGGCACATCTCAAAGTCAAAATGTATAATTAGGTCTGAGATAAGAGGAGTCTGAATATTTGACAGGCGCACTTTCTCAGATAACGGCGGAATACCAGGAGCGTCACAAAAAAAAAAAAAAGGGCCACAAATAGCCTAAGCTGGTATTCAGACGGCAGAAAAGGATGTGGATTAAGAGCAGGTTATCGTTTAGGTGAAGGCGAAGATGATTCATGTCAGATATTAGTTTGAAGACATGCGGGGCTAGACAACATGGATTAAAATGGGAGACAATGAGGAACAACATGTAGAACACTTACCAATGTGACATGTTACCAGCTCATTCCCACTGACGTACATAAATTAAGGTTTTGAACCTGATTACCTCAACATAAAATAAAAGTGACACTGAGAACCTACTTGACTACTAAAACTATATGAATAGGGTCAAATTGCTAAAAAAGAATTGGTGATGCCAAAATGTGATCACAAGATACCACTCAGGAACCCTTATAGACACAAAGTGACCATGACTTGAATGGGCCCCTTGATAGATTTGAAACTATAGTATATGTATGGGCGCTTTCCAAAGCTTCTACCCGACAAGTTACAGGAAAGGAACCAAATGTTGCAAGTGGACTTTCCCAAGAGTTCAACCTATACATAAGTATTCACACTCTGAACAAATGGCCATACCTATTCCACGATTATTCTACGGAACGATCCTATGGAGCTCAAACGTTCCATCATCTCATGTCACCCTAGCTATTTATTCAGTTGGTCGCATTAGGCTGACCCCTGGTTGACAAAAGCATTACTAGCAACCTCCGATTTCAAGGTGTTGCAGAAAGCGTAAAAGCAAGCAAGATATTAAAAATACCAACTATTTTATGGGATGCAGAGCCAAATTCTCAACTACTCCATTGTATTAGGTGCCATTAACAACACTGACAAATATATAGTGAGGGCTGTTACTGGACCTAGGAGGTATTGAAGCATGATTTCTTTTTACACAACCAGTCAGCCTTACCCCTGCCTAAAACGATCAATAATAGAGTTCGAAGAATTTTGCGCAGCAAATTGAGAAATACATCCGATATTTCTACAGAGCTGCGGAACCTTAATGTAGGTTAATCAGCTAATGCAATTGTTCTCGCCTAAACAGTTTCACTTTCTTGTCTCTTTTTTAATAGATGTGCAAAGTGTTACTATGGCAAATACTGTGTTTTGCTCCTGCCTCTAATAGCGAGATCTAGCAACATACAATTTTACTCTTAGGGGAGCCTCATCAGGTTCCCTGTGGCTTCATTCAACATACTCGGCAGCGGGATGTGCGACAAAGAAATGTCAATTCATGACAAAACTTTTTCCGAGCTACTAAAAACATTACTCTGGATGACTTTAAAGTAGTTTTTTTAATTATTTTCTGGAGCTTTTGCTTTTTACAAAGTTAAAGATGCCAATAGAGAACATCAGATTATATGTTTTTCAATATCAATCAGCATCGCACGAGCTGCAGTGAGCTTCCTACTAAGTTTTTACTACACAGAGTAACAGAGCTAAGAAACCCAACTATAATTCTACAAAGTGCTCGCAATTTTAATTTTTTATTTCACGTTATGCTAATCCTATTGGAGAGTGATTGTTGTACTGAAAATTGAGCCCTCTTATAAAAAAAAAGTTCCTTATGAAACATGGCACACAGCGGTTCAGATAATATACTTGCATGCTGAGAGAGGGTAATGCCAACACAATAGTCCCTTTGCCATTGCCTTAAATCTCTTCATGAGACCAGGCCACCTTGTTACAATAGATCTGCTTAACCGTCTCTCTGCTTAAAGAGCCACTTGCTGAAGCAGTAACAAACTGACTTTGCACATTAGTAAGGATTAGCCAGAATAAATAATACATTAGCACCATGTCGAGGCCCTGCTATGCTTCCGAAAACCTATACGCAGACTGCACACCGTCCTAAAAAAAACATGAATGCGAGATCGGTCCCGTTCTCGCTCACTTAAGCCTGGGAGGAGAACTAAGAGGTAAAACTTTAATCCAAACACCTCAAAGTGTTTGAGTAAATATTATCGCTGTGTGGTGTTGCCATTCAAGGGAACATAAAATGTTTTTGCTAAACAGGTTCCCATGTTCGGCAAGGGAAAAAAAAAAAAGTTACAGCTGCCAAAGATATTTCAAAACCAATAAGGAAAAAAAAACATAATATATATATGTATATATATATGCATCGTAAAACTTCGAATCAGGTTATTTGTGTCTACCACAACACAAGCTGCTCTGAGTAGCATTTCGGTGATCTGAGTAAGTGCATTTTAATACAACTTGCAAATAGCCAGCACTCTCGCCTAGTAAGACAAAATGAAATGGAAAAAGAACGCACTTAACGCCAAGGATTTATACTTTCAGGAGATGATAAATGTAAGCTTTGCAGAAGCTTTTAGATCCCGAAATGCCCCATTACGGTTATAGTTTATTTTATGTAAAACGCTAAATAAAATTGTATTCTACGGAAGATTTGCCCAAACTTGAAATAGCATGCAAGCAACTCGCAGCTTAAACGATAATCTATAGATTAAAAAACAAAGCAGCAGCAGATAAAATTGCTTTAGGAAATGGAGAAATGCCTAACTAACTAGGAGAACATTTGCAGCATAAACAATATAGATATTTGGGAACAGAAAATGCATTTTAACATTTTCGTTTCTTTTTTCTCTTTCTCTGTTATCAGCTCCGAAAAGCTGAAGTTACACTGTTAAGTGGTTCTACGTTCCCTGGTTAAAAGGCTTTCAAAGACAAACTTTCTAAGAGAAGGCTGCAGCAAAGCCAAGACTGTTTTTTTTCTTTTTTTATCAGTTTCTGGAGTTTGAAATGTTCCTTAAAATTGCAGATCAAGACTGACAGACTACAGCAAAGAAAGCAGAATTTTGAAGACTATCATGAACATCTATCAAACATCAATAGTTGAGTTTCTCAGACCTAAAATCTATGCAAAAGGAAAAAAAACTTTGCACAAGTCCCAGAAGCCAGGTAACAAATGCTCATTAAAATAAAAAAAATTGCAGCTGGTGTCTTAACATGTGTCACCCTCCTGTTAGCAACACCAGTACGTTACCTAGATTGGGCAAACTGGCTCTGAATTGAGCTTGCTCAGAAGTTTATAACAATGATGACAAGACCAGAGGGAGAAGCAAACTAGATTCTGTAGCAAGCTCCGGCCATTGATCCTTCAAAAACTACACATCTCCAGCTTAATAGCTTTAATAAGACTGTCTAGCTAGGTCAAAATGTACAGATTTGTATTAAAAAAAGTCCCAACAAAAGATCTACTCCTCCTGTCTTTTACTTACTTTATAGTCAGAGTTATGGTAGAGTTGGTAAGATAAGAACCCCCTTGGACTTGTCACAATACAACTAGAACATCTGTGATTGACCCACCTACTATATTACAGTTATATAGTTAGCCAGGTTAAAAAAAAAAAAAAAGGACACCATTCCATCGAGTTCAATCTATAGAGAACAATCTCAGCATGGAATCTGAAAAGTTAGACCACCCAAAGTAAGAGCAGCTTTTTGTGTCTAAACAAACAAACAGATAAATCACAGTACCGGTTTATCTGCTGCTAAGAATTAAAGACTGAACACACACACACCCTTGCCTGCCACAGTCTAAAAAATAATAATGGTACAAGCCATGGTACTCCAGTTACAAAAAATTCCCTTAGACTTTATTGTGATCAACAGCCATGCATACACACAATATACCCCTAACACACACACCTTACCAACCTTCTTAACAATCATGCACTGAATAATATACTAAAGATTTGATTTCTCAAAAAAAAAAAAAAACTTTTAGAGTGCTTTAGTGTCCTCCAGCAAGAAATAGAGAAGTGTTTCAATCAGGACTATATATTTTCCTATTATTTTTTATCACCAGATATAAATTTAAAAAAAAATGGAAACAAATATTTATATCACCACATGAAAAAAAATGGAGAGTAGAATAGATTGTTTTAAAAAAAAAAAATGAACACATCTAATCAAGAAATCCAAGAGCCAAATAAAATGCTAAGACCATTGTTTGCAAGCTAGGGAAAGATTTAATAAAACGTTGCAGAGAGCTCTTTCCACAAGCCTTTGCCTGTCTTATATAGAACATGAATCTGTACTGGCAGCTCGACCTTTCCACAAAAATTATACCACTAGGGAGGAAAAAAAAAAGGCTGTTTAAAGTCAACACTGATTTCACCCCCCTACTATGCAAAGAAGAAGTACTTTTCACAAGATGTACCTGTTGGGTGCAACAGCTGTAAGAAGGCTTCCAAGAAAGGCAGGAGAAGATGTGGAATTGCATAGGAGCTGGGAACCACTGGTACAACAGGAAGCAGAGTAATTAGATGTGAATCCCAGACAAGAACAAGACGAAAAGCTCCCCCTCCTTAAACATCCCCAAACAGCCGAGGGAAAAAAAAAAAATCTCATCACTTACTGCAGAGCTGGAGATTTACCAGAAACCAGGTAGTCAAGGAACCTAAAAAATTACAGATGGCGCCAAACTTTTCCAGCTTTACTGAATAGCACATGCAAAGCACATCGATTGAAAGTGATTAATGACACATGTAATAGGGGTCATTGTAAGGTAGCTATGGTGCTAAAATGTCATTTTATACATAATTTATTCTTTAAACCATTATCTATATTATCTATTTATAAAGCAACATATAAGAATAAAAGCACCTATTTAACAAATACATGAACCTCTATAAGTGGAAATCCTGCTCAAAATTGCTAACAACCAATTTTTAATACATGTATATTCACTTGTTTTTGTCTCATTCTCTTTTCGGGAAGATGGTGGGTTATATTTTTTTTACCAAAAAAGAAAGAGAATGTAACTACTAATATTAAAACAGTTTTTTAAAAGTTTGTTCCTTTCAGTCAATATATAAAAAGTATAGCTTTAACTCCTTCTGGTCCACCTCCTATCGAGTCCATGTAACGGACATCTTGGCACAGCACCTGCACGTACAGCAAGTGTCTGATCACACATGGGGACAAGAGTGATGACAAGCAGCTGGGTAAGGGGTTAATAAATCATAGAGGAGCAGGAAAACTAAGCCGCTTAGGATAGATTACCCGTACTGAGCAACCGATACAGCGCAGATATGCAAATAGGTGATGTTTTTTGTTTGTTCAAAACCACTGTGTGCCAATCAACTGAAAGGCTGGGGAATCTGAATCCTCCACCCTCTTCTCTATTCACCAAATATGGCCAATTAAAAACAAAACAGAACTGCGACTATAAAACAAAAACATTAAAAAAAAACATAGCACTGCATTTATGCATAGTTTATCTCATAAAAACAAAAGGCTAACAAAAAAAAAAAAAAGTGCTCCACAGTTGTCATGGATCGTTCTTAGCAAAAGGTGACAGTTATGCTGTCGTCTCTATCCAGAGGAAAACAAAAAATCAGTCTGAAGTGTTGATTGATAAGAAAAAACCGCGACAGTCGACAGAACACAACGAGGCACTGGAAAATGACATGAAACAAGTTAAAGGGCTTCTTCTTTTTTTTGCTTACCCATCTCAACAAGGCTTTTCTCATGTGAATGTTCCTATTCCCACTATCTGAATCATGCCAGAAAAACCTGAAGAAATGAAATCATGAAAATCTTGAAGTGAGCTAGCAAAAAAAAAAGTAAAAAAATAAAACCCTTGAAAGGAAAATCGGACATGTCTTGGCGCTAAGATGTTTATAATTAAAAGAGAAAAGAGACAGTGGAGATGTAAACCCTGGGCAATCTGACAGTCTACATACAAAGATGAAAAGGATCCAAAAGTAAAAATAAATAAATACTAGGCTCAACATCTATCTGATCATTGCAACGGTTACGTTTAGCAAAGACTTAATAAGTAACTACAAGAACAGCAACAGTCTATACATATAATAAACCTATACAGAACATATATACGTTTAGAACAATAAAAAACTGAAACAAATAAACTTACAACATTTTCAGTCTAGAAGCAGGAAGTGCAAACTTAGAGGTCCTAATTTTTTGGCACCTTGAGGTTTTTGTCAGTAGAGTGCAGAGTGATAAAGAGTGGTTGCATAGAAAAGGAAGGGGAGGAGTTCCGGAACGGCATGGGAGTACCAGCTGTTCTAGATCACATCAGCACATGAACAATTAAATCATTAAATATGATAAACTAGTTCATTTGTGCTTTAAAAAAAAAACAAGTTAGAAAAAACAAGCCAAGTCAAAGCTTAAACAATTGTTTTTCTTGGTTGAGTTTTACACCGTGCCCTCATACTCAAGGAGCTAGACCCCATCCACCCCCACCAAAAAGAAGAAAGAGAAAAAGCTCCTCAATAAACCGTCATGGATTCTTAATCTGTGACCAATACACCTTTGATTTATAAAACTGTGCCCACTGGCGAACTCAACTCCCAAAAGAGTTTTTGAATTGTAAGTACCAGCCTCAAGGTACGACGGAACCCATCAATAACGTAGAATGAGGTCCATTTACCAGCCCTGTTCAGACCCAATCCCCTTACAGGCTGTAAAAGATAACAACCCAACGGTCCAACAGGGGCCTATCCCCACCCCAGCACTCCCTGCAGACTAAAAGCACAAGTCAGCCCGTGATTAATGGGTTTGCAGACAGAGAAACACAACATCCGGAAAAGAGCAGACCCAAAATTCACCCTATGGCAAGAACGAAGACGAAGACGCTTCCATTTAAACTGGCTTTCTGCTCCTTTGTACTTGACCTGTTTCCCTGGAAATTCTAGCATGCTGGCTTTTCTGACCCGAGAGTGACGGAACGAATTGCTGAGAGTCACAGGACTTGCCCTCTCGAGCCCGGATAGTCACGGTGGCAAAAAGAAAAAAAAAAACACAACGGAGCAAGACCCAAGACTTTGAAGATGCCATGACACCGAGCAGGTGCCCAAGCACTTCACACAACGTAAATTTAAAAAGCAGGTGCACGGGAGCAAAGCAATGATCCTCACGAGTACAAAAACATCCCTCTGATTCTCTCTGGGAAAGAATAAATAAAAGAAAAAGAAAAAAAAAGCATAACAAATAACACACTGGGAACAGAACGAGAGCTTAATGCGGAGAGTGACAGCCTATTCATTTCTACAGGCCGGAACAAAAATCTAAGAAATACTGAGCCAAATTGAGAATCTGACAAGTTCTTCTGAGCAGTAATTATGTTTTATCTTTTGTGCGAGTCGAGAATATCTGTTAAAAGGATTTGCATTTGTTTTACGGTGCAAGGAAAAAAAAAAAGCAGCTAAGACTCTCACAGTACCTTATACCGAGCTCTACCCACGCCATTTTAATACACAGGTTTGAAGATATCGGCATACCAGGAACTCTTATATCCTGAGCAGGTTCTGGGAATATACAAGCTTGCTAAATTAAGCAAAAGCAAGGCAACATTGACAGTCCCAAAGCAACTACTATAGTCAAGAAATCGAAGGAGCCCTACTTCCGTCTAACCAACCAACACAGGCCCAGCAGACCGACTAGGAAAAAAGCTTCTACAACGGAAGGAACCATTTAAAGAAAAGACAACTTCAAAATGCTGCAAAAATTGTGTCTTCTCTGCTTACCTACTCAAACCACACCACATATTATACAATCGGTGAACAGAATTCTGAACTTGGCTGGTGTGGGCTCCGAACGTCGCCATTGGTTTTTAGATTTTATGCGATGGCACTCATTTTTTATTGGAGAAATTTTTTTAAAAAAAATACTTTCTGAAGTCCTTGGGGCAGGACAACTTTTGCTGCCATAGGACTTGTGCCTAAGTAGTCCGTAGATATAAAAAACTAGCCAATAAGTAAAGAAGGGAGATGCTATGTGCAGCACTCAAAGCGGCCAATCGGAATCTGTTGTGTACTGGTATGGCATCAGTAAGCAAATTCTGATTGGTTGGCATATTTTGCTGCTTGCGCCGTGTAATGTACAAGAGTGTGGGCTACACTTTGAGTTGCTATCTGCCCCCAATTCAGTTTCCCTCCACTTCTAACCTACAAGTAATGAAAAGGGACAGCGTGCAGGAATGCAATCGGAGATTAGCCAATAATACGAATGTTGAATGTAATTTTCATGAGCTGATGAGCCTTCAGACTCAATGCAGCCCTTTATTTTTACAAACACACACACACTATGCTCTCTGTATGTATAGATATATATATATATAGTGCAATATAAATGGGTAAGCCGTATTAGTCTCTGAGCCCTATACTGCGACTTCACTGAAGACTTTCTAATACAATTATTGTGACTCATTTTCTTCTTCGCTCGGTAACGTAAAATTACAGATAAAAATATCTATGACTGCAACACAAACGGAGTCTTTCAAGTCGGAAAAATGAAAAAAATAAATAAAATAAAAAGCAGAGGAGCCCGTCATAATTCTGAGAAAATGAAATCAGGTCGTTTGCACAATGCTACATTGTTGGTAGGGACCGTGGCTGCTCGAGTTTCATCCAGCACTGCCAACCTACCAATGGCAAGCAGAGCGCTACATGAAGTGTGTTCATTGTTTATGGCATGTCATTATTCCGCTTTTCCTGTAATTATCCAGGCAGCCCTACGTAAAACAAAACAAACCTTGAACTTCTAATTTATCTCTGTAGACCAGACTTATACAGCAACCTGAGTTGTGTGTGCGTTAGTGATAGTGTGTGTTGTGTGTTGTGTGTTGTGTGTTGTGTGTTGTGTGTAAATGCGTCGCGATGAAACACATAAAAACGTATGTGAACGCGGCTTTACGTCCCAATCGCACCTTATATATATATATATCTCCATTAAATACACACTACTAACCAAATGTACCATAATGGTGTAATATATAAAAATATATATGCACGCACACACACATATATATAAAATTTCCAAATATACATTGATACATTTTATTTTGTTTTTATTAATGTGTTACTATTTATGAAGATTTATACTGGAATTAATGTCAAAAAAGTTTTGCAACTTGATAATGGCATGGTATGAAAGGGCACAGAGGCCTCTCATCGTCCTAGACAGGACTGTGAACAAATAACTTTATTACTATATTAGTGTAGTGTGGAAAATGTCCCTGAAAATCATTTCAAAAGAAGGTACCCGGCAGTAAAAAAAAGTCTGATGAATTAAAAAAACTCTAGGTCTGGGCGAAAAAACAAACACGAGGCGTACTGGTGACCCAACTGTAAATAAATCTGTAACGAGTGTCTTGTGTGCCCAGTCAAACCAGAAAACATGGCCTTCCGCCTTACAAATTCCCATCCACAG